CGTCGTGAGCTTCAAGCACGATACCATAGTATCGTGGCCAAGGTGCGCCACCGCCGAGAGCGCGAGAAGGCGCGCGTCACCGACGCCCGACCCGTGTCGATGCCTCACAGCGCCGACGTTGCCGCGACGCGAAGCGGGTCCGTCTACGCGGTGACGGACGGTCGGCCTCGCACCCGCTCCAACTCGCGCCCAGGCCGGATGCTCGCGATGCATCGCACGACCAAGGTTCGCAAGAAGCGAAGTCTTGCAACCACCAACGTCTCGGGCCAGCGGCCTGCACGCACCCGCCAGTCGGTCAAGCTCGAGTCGGTCAAGACGAAGACGGTCAAGACCGAGTCGCGCACGGCGAAGACAAAGGTGATCAAGGCGGAGACGGTCGGTGGCGTCCGCGGCACCAGCCTGAAGCTCAAGGTCGCTCGATCGGCTCGACAGTAGTCTTGTCTACCCCAGCGTGTAATGTTGCCACGACTAGTAAAGCGTGATTGGACTGACTGATCGAGGAGTTGACTAAACATGAATACGTCGTGCCTACAAACGGCTCGATCTGTACTAGATTCACGACAACTAAAGTACTATGGGATAAGATCACAATGTGCGTTGGACGTCGGCAGTCACGAGCTCTTGAAAACTCGAGTTCGTCCACCGACAGCCCGATATAGTGTCGCTAGAATACGCCTGCGACTCGATGCTACAGTCGTCGGCTTGGATAAAGGATGCTTGCTTGAACGTTCCCGTCAGCCCACGAAACGACCGACGAGGTTGTTCGGTGTCGCCGGGACAACAAGCGGGCTACTAAGAAGCGCGCAATGCATTTCGTGTGTTGCAGCAGGGTGCAGTCACCACCAACCACGAGGTGCATCACTGCCAGACTCGAAGGAAGCCCGATTGGCGTGATGGTAAGAGACGCTGGTCCATGCTAGTCATCCGGATGTTATCCGGAAGATACGCCAAAACCGATTCTTTGGCGCCAAATGCAGCTGGCCGCGAGATAGCACGTGCAAATGAGCTCTATTTATCTATCCATCTAGTTCGTTAGCTAGCTAGCTACGCATTCCACGGAAAAAGCACGGATCTATCGACAAGCACTGGTCCAACAACCAATGGTACGATGCGATCCACCATCACTCATTTCAAACCATACATTCTGCTGTGCAAGATCGTGGTCCCATGGGCAACTCCAACGAATCGAACTGTCATTTCCCATTGTGCTGACTCGTCCCCAATGAATTTGTCGACGCTCTTCAACCATCCGATGCGTTCCAAAGAAGACGACGTGCGGTCTGCGACGGCGCGCGTTGCCCGTATCGTACACGACGCGCAGGCGCAAGCGTGGGCCCACGACGTCGGTCTCCGCTTCATGGACGTGACGTGGGAAGACTGCGCGCGCAGCAAGAACAGCTGCTGGGGGCCGTGCATCTCGGACATGACGCTCATCGTCGAGAACACGCGCATGCCGGTCCTCCGCGTGCCCAACTTTGCCGGTAGAAATATCGTCGTCCACACCTGTATCAATTCTTCACTTCTTGCGACAATATTAGACCCGATCATGAGCATTTCAACTCGCAAGATCTTTGTCACGGTCGGGAACGAGTCGCCGTATATTCGCGCGCCCCGAAGCACGATTTCCCTCCAAGAGTACCTCGAAAACATCACCAAGTACACGGAGCTGGAGCACAGCTTGTTTGCGCCCGACCACGACGACCACGCGGTGGTAAGACACCGTATAGTATACATGTTGACATATCGCACACGGGATGGTAGGTGAGCACGCAAGCCAGCTTTTTGCCCATTGAAACCGAGACCACGGAGTTCCACGTTGGCTTGTACAACTACCAGTCGTCCGTTGATGACCCGGCCGTGCTCGTCTTGGTGTGCACGGCAGCGGGCACAAGGTACCACTCAGCGCTCTATTTTCACGTGACGAAACAACGACGATAGTGCCCAGGTCATGACGGAGAGCGACGCGATCTTGTACAGCAACGAGCAGGGTCAAAAGCACACCTTTGTTGCCGAGCGCTTGTCGACACACCGCGCCAAGCGAGGGGTTACGTCGAATGGTGCCATGACGGCGCGAGAGGAGGCATGCAACTACGTCATGATTGTGCAGATCCCGCTCCAGCAAAAGCCGCCGCCGCCAATGCGCCAGTACAGCAACGTCGCGTCCTGGTCCTGCGAAGAGGAAGAAGAGTGCGCCGTGGGTGGGTTTGCTGCGACGTTCGAGCGGCCCGACGTTGAAGACGCCATGGTGAGCCTCGGCGAGGCCCTCGGGCCGTTTCCGAAGCTGAGCCAGTTTCGCAGCGTGACCCGCGACGCCCAGTACCCGATTCGCGTG